GTTTAGACTAACTTTCGTTTAAGCCTAATGATTTATTTCAATACATCAAAATCATCCAGCTTCCATGCCGTCCTGGCAAAGCTGTGTCTAAATCCGATGAGAGATTGGTCTTTTCGTGAAGGGTCCATCTCTTGGTTTCGAACGTATTTCGAACAGGAACTGCAAGCAAGTAGTATTATTAATTTAAAAAACTCTTAGTCTCGGTTTGTTATATTTCACTCAGGGTTAAAATGCGAAGCATTTAAGACGCTCCACTCAGGTTTGTTTTTGTTTTTTACGTACTCTCAGTAGCAAACATGTCTCTTACGAGTTAATCATTTCATTCTTTTCTTACAGGCCAGCAGTGTAGTATCCCTAGTCAGGTTTTCACGGAATGTGGTTCATCATGCGTACAAAGTTGTCGCGACTTGTCACGTGCTACAGAATGTAACGAGCAGTGTGTTCCCGGATGTCAATGTCCCCAAGGATTGGTTCTCAGCGACGATAAGAAATGTATTCCGGTGGCGAAGTGCCCATGTGAATTTGAGGGTAAACCACTCCAGCCTGGCGAGAGCGTTGCCGTTGGGAATTGCAAGACATGGTGAGTATGATACTGATTTATGTTTTGTCCTGATCGCTATCCGCTGGATAAGTGATTTAACCGCCTTAGCTATTCACACAAAAAGTCGCTTGGTGGTAAAATGCACATCTGTTGTCATTGTCATTATTGTTGTTGTTGTTGCTGTTGCTGTTGTTGCTGTTGTTGTTGCTGTTGTTGTTGTTGTTGTTGCTGTTGCTGTTGCTGCTGTTGCTGTTGTTGTTGTTGTTGTTGTTGTTGTTGTTGTTGTTGTTGTTGTTGTTGTTGTTGTTGTTGTTGTTGTTGTTGTTGTTGTTGTTGTTGTTGTTGTTGTTGTTGTTGTTGTTGTTGTTGTTGTTGTTGTTGTTGTTGTTGTTGTTCTCTTGATGTTGTTGTATGAATAAAACAATCTTTATATAAATGAATATTTAGATGTCTTTTTTGCGATGTGGTACTGTCTACTTCTACAGTTTATTGATCACGTGATTTATCACTTTTTACAGTACGTGTGACAAGGGAGCAGTCAAGTGTGTTGAAGATCGAAACTGTGTAAGCAAAGGTAAGTTTTCGCAACCAGAGACCAACTGATTGCAAGTTAAATAGCGCTATCCAGTATGAATAACGATGTTGTGAGCCAAGCAACGCGTATGGTCAAGCAACTTCGGCAAGGCTTCTTAATTAATAGACAGATTTAGATCGAGGACGCGGACTTCAAAGACGACGTGAAAATCGCGTCAAAATGGCGTGGCATATCCATACATGGGCACAACATGCCATTTTCACGTCGTCTTTAACGTCCGCGTTCTCGATCTAAATCTGTCTAATAACCACTGCAGATCGGCAAAAAATGGCTAGTAAGCTATGGCTGTTGGCTTCTAATAGATAGCAAAACTAAATGTATAAATCCTACTAATCTTTAATCTGGGTTATACCGATTATTTTATTTCGTCTGCATGCTTATATTTTTAGGTCCGTGTGATTCTTTCCCATGTCGTAATGGTGGTATATGTTCATTGCAGGGAAGCACATTTTCTTGTCAGTGTCCCAATGATTACCAAGGAAGCACGTGTGAAGGTAAGTTATGATTTTAAGTATTTGCTGTTGCTTACAAATTTATCGGTGGTAAGACCCAGATTTTTATCATTGCATGAAGAAGCAGGTAGCGGCAAAGTAAGGGGAGTGGATACAAATTAATGATCATATTCTCAAACTCGATAATAATTCAAGAGTAAATTATCCAACCATATTGCTTATTTTGCTCACGTGAAATTACTGCATATCTGGTACAGTACAATGATCCTGTCCTAGAACTGAATGAATATTAGTTCTGTACTTGGCTGCATGGATCAAAATTATCATGAATTCTATTTAAGTCAAAACATAGTTAGAACACTCATCATACACTTTCTGTTAATCTAGAGTTTGCAATCTCTCTTGTAACAACTCGTGACTGCCAACTCTCATCTACGTTTGACTAGGGCTTAATACATACATAATCGGCATAAAATATTTAACTCTTTACATTCTCCCCTTCGTAACGTCCTGCTAACTACCATATTTGGTGTATGACAATGCAAGGGTGTTATTCCAACGAGTATCAATTAAGTATTGTACCAACTAAGCCTGTTTTTCAATTTTTCATTCTGCTAAATTGTTTTTTAATTTGCTTATCTTCATTAAATAACTTTTTCAGAGCTGAAACCGAAACCATGCGACTCACAACCATGTCTTAACGGCGGCATTTGTACGAATGTAGGCTCCTCGTTTTCGTGCGAGTGTTCGAAAGGTTTCAAAGGAGACACTTGTGCAGGTAGGTGGGGCTTCGGTTGCGAGTTGGTTTTGCGATGAGACTAAAAAGTCAGTATTATGAAGGTAATATAACGGTGCCTTGCAATTTTTAGATGCAGAATGCGTGGACAAAAAGCTAGACATTCTCTACGTAGTCGACGGCTCAGGAAGCATCAGGGACGCTAACTTTGAAAACATTAAGCTGGAACTGAAAGAAATGAACGGAAAATTTGCCATCGGGCCTGATAAGATACAAATAGCTCTGATGCAGTTCGGCAGAACCACTGACACAAAAATGGAATTTAAACTTGGTGAGAAAACCTCGTTGCAAGCGGTTAATGAAGGTGTGGATAACATGAAGTGGTTAAGCTCGCTTAAAACAGCAACTTTGGATGCATTGAAGAAAGCTAGAGAACAGGTAAGACTCGTTTATATCTTATTTAAATTAATGACATTTATTTATTTTCTACTCGAAGACGCAGTGGCGGATACAAGGGCGGAGGGCAAACCTCACCCAATAATGTTTCAAGGCCTTCGAATGATAGTTAAATAACTGTGCATGTAACAAAGCTGTAACCATTTTTCAACAATGAAAGTATTGGTAAAGGCTACAAAATTAATTAAGTGATGGTATATTTTCATCGAAAACCGCCATTTCTCTAATCAAAACAACTAGTTACTTTCGATTGATAAGAACATTGTTCAATTTTTTTCATTTTAAAAAAATTGGTAAAATGCAAAGGTGGGACCATTGAGGTGCGGCCACAGGCATTCCCGGGGCTGGGGAGGGGGGGGGGAGGGGATCATAGGAAATTTTTTTAAAAGTTCATAAACAGCTCAACTCACTCTGAACTTTCTGAAAATTGTCGAAAACCATTTCCCTCATCAAAACAATTACTTTCAACTAATAAAAAATATTTTGAAAAATTTTGGTAAAATGCAAAGGTGGGACCACAGGCATCCCTAGGGTGAACAAAGGGGGGGGGGGGACAGGAAATTTTTTAAAAATTCATCCAACCCACTCCTAACTTTCTGAACTGAAATTGTCGAAAAACATTTCTCACATCAAAACAGTTAGTTTCGACTGATAAAATCATGTTTTTAAAAAACATTTGTATTTTTTTATATCATACCTGGTTGCTGTGAACCAATATATTCTAAAACATGTAAACGTTATTTTTTTATCTGCGTTAGGTTTTTAACGGTGAAGGCGGAGACCGTAGTACTGCTGCTAATGTTTTGATACTATTTACTGATGGGGTAGCGACGGACGCGAACGAAGTTGACCAGATTCAGGAAGCTCAGAAATTGAAGGATGCCGGAGTGAAGGTTATCACTGTTGCAATGGGGAGCAAAAACTTCATTGAAAGCTATCGATCAACCCTACAAAAGTTAGCAAGTGTAGACGACGAAACTGGTCAACCGCTTCAGTTTGAAGCTGGCTTTGACAATTTGAACGACCTCACAAGTAAACTTGTAAAAGGAGCTTGTTAAGGTCAGCAAGATGGAAATGAGACCGCTGAATTCATTTGACGTTACGTAACATTTTTTTAATATAGCAACAGCGCATTATGTGCTAGTTATGACTCAATAACTCTTTAATAATTAGTTAGTTTTCTAGTTATAAGTACGTAAAATAACTTCTTTAAGAGACATTTACAGCATGAGCTCCACCTTTGAATTTACTATATGAGTAAATTCTTAAACACGTCCGAATTTATCATTATGATAAATTCGCGGCAAATTTTGAATTTATCATAATAATAAATTCGCGGCACCTAACACCAACCCTAACCCCAACCCTAACCACTAACCCCTAACCCCTAACCCTAACTTTTTTAACTTTTTAAATTTCTTTAACTTTTTTAAAAATCTAACTTTTTAAACTTTTCCTGCTTTTCAAAACTCTTTTAAAACTTTCTTAAAAACTATTTTTTTGGGTGACATCTAATTCTCGTTAACCAATGCAGACAATTAAAACACTGTGGAAAGCAATTTTTCAAAATAAACTAACCATTTACACAAAGCAAATTTACCATCATTCGTCCAAAAATTCATAAAAAGTCGCTGTTATGTGGACTTATCTCGCAGACTTCGGCTAAAAAGCCACCCAAAAATGGCGGAGTGAGAAAGGCTAATTCGGCTACTGTTTGCCGATCCCGTGATCAATAAAGCAGCCACTTTAAAACGTTTCGGTGACATATTTATGCATCAGATCAAGTATCTCCACGGGTGGCCAAGTAACAATTCGTAGCTCACACTTTTGTCCATGCTTGGGCCTCTATTATATATAACAACAAAGTTTAAAAACAACTATTTCCTATACATATATTGCGTGTCGGGTACTTACCAATTACCATAACCAAGCCATATTCTCAACTATTTTTTTCATCAAACATCTTTAAAATTCTGAAAGCAAATCGTATATGGCAGTGTAATCAAACGATGTCGATAAAATGTTGATTATCTTTAACACGAATTGGTTACTCATATAAATATCTGATCAAAATAAATATGCTATCAAAACGTAAGAACACAACTGCCTACCGAGACCTGTGCCGTAATTTAGAGTTAAATATAAACAATTACACCCTATGTACTTTCTGTTAAAAAATGAAGGCTATTTATGATTCACCTGCAAATTAAAATACCACACAAACGGTGGGCATTTTGTCGCTAATTTCTGGTAATGCATGAGGAGAGCCGGCATAATCAAGTGGGCCAACTAGAAACTTGTACGCAGTTATAACATCATAAATTCTACATTTGTTTATTTTGTTTCGGGTGACATAGCAGATTTTTCAGGTAGTTTGTGTGATCAAGCAAGATATTTCATGTGGGAGTTAACGAATTTGTTTGTTAGTGCGATCAAATGGACCATTTGCATTATAGACTAAATTTTGATCTAGACAAAAATTTCATCACAGCTTGAAAGTGCATCACAAAATTAGTAATATTCCGAAGTTTCCTTGCGAAATGTTGTAAAATGCGGATAATATAGCCATGCGAAATTTGCCGTTTTTCAGTCATTTTGTATTACGCACGGGAAATTGACAGCCCAATCGGGTGTTGGGGCATCAATTTCCCGTTTGTAATACAAAATGACTGCTGAAAATTGCAAATTTCGCAAGGCTATATTATCCGCATTTTACAACATTTCACAACGAAACTTTGGAATATTACTAATTTTGTGATGCTCTTTCAAGCTGTGATGAAATTTTTGTCTACATCAAAATTTAGTCTATAACGCAAATGGCCCATTGACGGCATAAAGCAACTCATATGTTGCCTGGTTTGTTTTTCATACTGTCAAAACGTGCCGGTGAGGACTGCATAGACTCCGTTAAGACTGACGATTCCAGCTCACAGAGAAAATCAACCTTCAAATAAATAGTTCGTTGGTATTTGTAAATTAAATGTGTTAAAAAATCGTTATCACATTTTGAAATGTTTGGGTTTGGGCCATATGTCAAGTAAAAATTTCGCGCGAGTAGTATACAGAATAGAGGTTCTGGAGCTGGTGGACAAGTAGAGCTCTATCCATGGGGTCATCAGCGGGGTTCTGAGATGGGCGGGGTGAATCGAGCATTCAGATTTCATGTCCATTATGGTATGTATAATCAGGAGGGGGTGGTAACTTACGACATTCCCCGGGGGAAAGGGTTTGGGGATAGAGAAACAGAAGAAGTTGCACTGCATGGGTGACACACAGAGTTAGGACTAGAGCATGCATTGTTAGCTATGCCATTTCAATCTTGGAATTTAGTTTGGATTCAACATATTTTTTATGAAATTGCCGCCACTGCCATTAAAAATACTTGAAGGTATTTTTGGATAAAATGGTATGACCGCTCTAAATAAAATAAAATAAAATACCCAAAGTAGTCATACCAATAATATTAATACTTAAATCAATGAATAAATCAATCTATACATAAACTTGAATAAAGTTTCTAAATTTCTATCAATAAAGTTCCCGCCAAAAGTATATGATGTACGCATTTTTGTTGTCATGTTTATTCATATAGGTCAATCTAAATTACTTCAAAAGTTATAGTTGATTGATTACTTTCTATTTCTGACTGTAGTACAAAGCGAAGGAGATACAAGTCTCATTAAAACAGACAGTCATCCATCTACAAGGATGAAATCTATAAAAGTGTCTCGCCAACATGCTGCACGAACTGTCCCTGTGGTCTCCGTGTGTTCTTGCGGCAATGTTTCCAAAATTTGAGCAATTTTTTGTCCAGAATTCCGTATCAGCATTTGCCTAGTACGAACCAGAATCTCTCAGAAGAACACCAAGATTGTTTATCCAGACATATTTCTTAATTGAGTGATACTCAGCCAAGATGAGTAGAGATACCACATAGAAATTGGCAAATTTCCAATACCATAGCAAAGAACGGTGCCGATACAAACACGAAATGTTCGCCGATCGCGAATGTGTCTCTTTCTTACTGCATCTGAACATACGCGCTTCATGCCTTTGCTTTGTTTGAGGAGTGCTCGACCGATTTTATAATAAACTAGAGCCAAAAATATTGTGAGAACAAAATTATATATAACTGTTACAATGGATAGTCGAATAAGCCTTCGATAAAAATTCTGCCGTTCAAAACAGAACGGCAGGTATGTTCCATATCCCACAATGAAACCAACAATGTACACCACACCACAAAAAACGTTCAGTTTCCGTCGACTGATGGCAGGTCTTAAGGGGTGTACAGTAGCAAGATAACAAAGCACTGAAATGATCAACATCATACCAACTCCAGCGACTTGAAAGACATGAAATAGATTACCGAAAACACAATACACGACGGAGTCAAGGAAATTTGATTCTTCAGTCGAATAAAGGACAATAACCTCCAAAAGGTAAATGATCAGTACTCCAAGATCACAGATCGCAAGCTGTAAAACAAGAATGTAGTAGTTGTTTTTCAACAAACATCTTTGTTTAAGTATCGAGATGACAACAAAAATATTACTGAGAATCCCAAATACAGATACTACGGTGTTAGAATATCCGAAGACATCGTATTCCGTCTTCCCCATTGGTAACGCAAGAAAATTAAATTTGAATTTCGTTGCTATAAAATACAATCAAAGATCAAACTGATAGCTTGTTTGCGCGTTCCTTCGAGAAAGAGAACGAATATACGTTTATTTTAATGCGTATAAGAGAGTAGCAGATGTATTTCGACAATACGAACCCCATGCATGATGACATTGTCTACATGGTGTATATAACTGCACCACTTAAGATAAAAAACATGCCGCTTCGATTATTTGAATATCTTGCATCGAAACTCAAGATATGAGCTCTTGTTTAGTTTTACAAGATATGAATATTCAGAAAATGTTTTATCTTTATTTTATGAAATTGTTTGCAGGTGAAGATAATACCATATTGTCACTCAAGGATTGGCAGATAATTGGGAAATTGTTCAAAAAGAAAAGTTTCAGACTGTCTAGCATGCAAGCATGAAAGAAAAAGGATTTTATTTACATTTTTCTAGATCTGTTTTAAATTTTATGTCCTTTAGCATCATATCACTTCTGATTGGTAAATAATCTATTAAACAGTTAATTCAACGAAGCGAAATTAATTTCTTTCAAGAAATGGCAGGAATTGGCCTGTATGAATTGCAGAAATATTAACAAAGTGCACATTGCAAACTAAACAGGTGTGTAGTGCACTATATTTTGTTAGATATTAGCAGATGACCTAATCATAAAACACTTTGCACCACAGTGGCTATATATTGCATATTGAACTAACTATACTGAAGGATTTGTAGAAACGAATCATTAATGTTTGGGCAAAAGATATTGAGCCCAACGAAATGATTTGAAATACCCTGATACAGATCACCTCTATATACACTCGTCGTCGGACGAGACATCAACATTTTTCTGTGTTTCAGAGTAATATATAGCTACTTAGTGGTACGTTTTCAATGGATAGGTCGGTCTGATAACATCACAAGAGAATATGTTCAACGTAGTGATGCACTAATTGTTTAGTTTTATAATAAGAAAATTCAGGACAGATTTACTGTCTCTGTGGTCTCCGTGTGTTCTTCCGGCAATATTTCCAAAATTTGAGCAATTTTTTGTCCAGAATTCCGTATCAGCATTTGCCTAGTACGAACCAGAATCTCTCAGAAGAACACCAAGATTGTTTATCCAGACATATTTCTTAATTGAGTGATACTCAGCCAAGATGAGTAGATATACCACATAGAAATTGGCAAATTTCCAATACCATAGCAAAGAACGGTGCCGATACAAACACGAAATGTTCGCCGATCGCGAATGTGTCTCTTTCTTACTGCATCTGAACATACGCGCTTCATGTGTTTGCTTTGTTTGAGGAGTGCTTGACCGATTTTATAATAAACTAGAGCCAAAAATATTGTGAGAACAAAATTATATATTACTGTTACTGTGGATAGTCGAAAAAGCCTTCGATAAAAATTCTGCCGTACAAAACAGAACGGCAGATATGTTCCATATCCCACAATGAAACCAACAATGTACACCACACCACAAAAAACGTTCAGTTTCCGTCGACTGATGGCAGGTCTTAAGGGATGTACAGTAGCAAGATAACGAAGCACTGAAATGATCAACATCATACCAACTCCAGCGACTTGAAAGACATGAAATAGATTACCGAAAACACAATACACGACGGAATCAAGGAAATTTGATTCTTCAGTCGAATAAAGGACAATAACCTCCAAAAGGTCAATGATCAGTACTCCCAGATCACAGATCGCAAGGTGTAAAACAAGAATGAAGTAGTTGCTTTTCAACAAACATCTTTGCTTTAGTATGGAGATGAGAACAAAGATATTACCGAGAATCCCAAATACAGATACTACGGTGTTGGAATATCTGACGACATCGCATTCCGTCTTCCCCATTGCTAGTGCATTAAGAAAGTTAAATTTGAATTTTGTTGCTATAAAATACAAATCAAATCAAACTGGTAGCTTGTTTGCGTAGTCCTTTTGAGAAACAGAACAAATGGCAAATAAGATATACGATATACAAGACAATACCAGGTGCATATATTCCGCGAATGCGGATCCTACACATGATCGTTGTTTCTATGGTGTTATAGAACACCACTTAGACAAAATATGCTGGTTGGATTAATTTAATCGACCCGATTAACCAATCAGATGTGTACTGAGCCAGAGGGAGGTAGCAGCCTGAATGAAAATCAAGTCGGACATAGATTTATTGTTTGACTGCTAAGAGTGACGTTGAGGGTCAACACAAGGTTATTCAGGTTTTCATGACATATTTGGATCGTATAGACAAGAAATATTTGGATCGTATAGACAAGTTTTTCCGGCGGGCTTATCGTTATGTATATACGACAAAGAGTATTAAGATATCTGAAGTGATCGAGGAGAGAGACAGAAAATTATTTAGCAAAATCGTATCGAATCCAGAACATGCCCTACATGAATTGCTTCCTGTGTGTAAACAAAGGATTTTAAGACAAAGGGAACATATCTTTATTTTACCTCAAATTAAAACGGAACGATTTAAACGATCCTTCATAAGTAGATGTCTTTTTAACTATTTTTAACTTTCAAATAATTAATTAGGACAGATCAATTTTTTAACTGTAATAAATAGTAATTTGACATTTGTAAAGTTGCACGTCTGTTGTGACTCTAGACAATAAAGACTTTAATAATAAACTGTTTTATTAAAGTCATTTTAACTTTGTTTTAACATGGAAAAAATGTTGGAAGAGAAGCAAAATTTTTAGAGGCACATAGGGGCAAAATAAGAGGAGTGGATACAAATTAATGATAATTCTCAAATTCGATAATAATTCAAGAGTAAATTATCCAAGAGGTAGGTAATCTTCGAGTTAAGCCCCTCGAATTAAGCCCTTCGAGTTAAGCCCTTTTCAAGTTTAGCCCCGACCATGCCCAAACCACACCCATTTTCGTCAAGAGCTTAACTCGAAGAAAGAAACACAACTTTGAAAGTTCGACTTAAGCCCCGTGAAAAAAGAGGGGCTTAACTCAAAGTCATTGAAAATATTTGACGCTAGAGTTAAGCCTTGGCATTTAAGGGATGTAAAAGAGCAATGATTTGAGTCGCCCACAATCTAGCTGGAAATAGTTATCATAAGGACCGTTTACACTTGCAATTTTTGCTGCGATTTCTAGTGCGATTTTCTACTTCTGATGGATGTGAACAAGTGGGTGAATTAGCCATTCCGAAGTTGATGAGAGGACTGGGACGAGTGTTAAAAAGTGCCCAAATTAAGAAATGAACCAAATAACTAAAAAGACCACCACAAAATTAGTCCGAATACAAAGTTTGAAGACGTCTACATGAATACCCTTCGAATAATAAGATTTCGAAAATTGTAAAATTACTGATTAAAAGATTGTTTTTGGGACACGCGTCCCAAAAACAAAAATTACAGTACAATACATTTCATAGTAAATATCGCGATTTTCGAAAGCTTATTATTCGAAGGATATTCATGTAAATGTCTTCAAACTTTGTATACTTACTAATTTTGAGGTGGTCTTTTTAGTCATTCGGTTCATTTCTTAATTTGGGCACTTTTTAACACTCGTTCCCAGTCCACTCATCAACTTCGGAATGGCTAATCATCATTGTTCTGAGCATCTGTTGCCTCATCTGAACATTCATGACTCATCCACTCGTTCACATCCATCAGAAGAAGAAAATCGCACCTAAAATCGCAGCAAAAATTGCAAGTGTTAAGGTCCAGACACACCGAACGCGATTCGACAACGCGACGCGATTTTTTAGTGTTTAAAGTAGTAATAAAACAGCCAATGAGAGCAAATTTTGAAAGATATGTACACCAAATAACTCAAAATGTTATGGCGCTTCTAAATATTTGGAAAATTCAAACTAGGATCAAAGTTATCGGTCAGTGAAAATCGAAAAATTGCGTTGCGTTGTGGAATCGCGTCCGGTGTGTTTAAAGGTCCATACAGACCGGACGCGATTCGGCAACGCGACGCGAATTTTCAGTTTTTAAAAACAAATAAAACCGTCAACCGATAAAAATTTTACAAGACATGCAGACCAAATAGCTAAAATTTCTTAAGTGGTTCCGAATATTTGAAAAGCACAGAAAAATAGTAAAGTTAAATGTCATTGAAAATTGAAAATTCGCGTCGCGTTGCCGAATCGGGCCTTAAAGGTCCATACAGACCGGACGCGATTCGGCAACGCGACGCGAAATTTCAGTTTTTAATTAAATACAAATAAAACCGTCAACCGATAAAAATTAAGCTGCAGCCTAAATGATTCACGAACAACTCGTATAAACAGTCAATTTTCATTAAGTAACAGATTATTTTTGACTAGCTTTTGTACCTTTGAGCTTATTATGAATAAATTGGCCTCGCCTTTTATTTCGCGTAAAAGGTCAATTTATTCGTAATAAGCTCAGAGGTGTAAAAACTAGTCCAAAGTAATCTGTTACTTAATGAAAATTGACTGTTTATACGAGTTGTTCGCGTGACTCATTTAGGCTGCAGCTTGTATAAGCCCAGTAGTATGACAACTATTTCCAGCTAGATTGTGGGCGACTCAAATCATTGCTCTTTTACATGCCTCAAATGTCGGGGCTTGACTCTCTATTTCAATGACTTCGAGTTAAGCCCCTCTTTTTTGGGGGTAGGTATTTCTCGAGTTAAGCCCTTGTAGTTATTAAACCCTTTTCGAGTTAAGCCCCTGCCACGCCTCTTTTCGCCGGGCTTAATTAACTCGAAGTCAATTAATGATTTAAGCATTCGAGATAAGCTCCGACATTCGGTGGATGTAAACAAGTGACGCGTGTATATTCGCAAAAATATTGGCATATAAGGAGGGGAATGTAAAATTTCAGCAGTTTTAAGAAATATATTTTCTAAGATCTCTGTTGCTTTGCCTACAATTTTATACAATGACATCGTGAGAGAACTCAATAAAAGGTACCCGGACATTTTGCCGAAAGACACTTTGCCGAAAGACATTTTGCCGAAAGACATTTTGCCGAACGGACATTTTGCCGACGGACGTTTTGCCGAACGGATGTTTTGTAGAACGGACATTTTGCCGAACGGACATTCTGCCGAACGGACAGTTTGCCGAACTGAGGACAACTTGCCCAAAATAGAGATGTTCTTTCGTCAAAATGTTTGGGACTGTGCCTCATTTCTCAACTTTGAAATTCTCAACCATTGGCATTGTGTAAAGTAAACATTATATGGTATTAGCAATGCATAATGAGTCATTAGCAGTGCATAACTTGTCGTTAGCAGTGCATAATCATATTGCGTAAGCAAATTGAAAGAATATAAACCGAAACTATACTTCGCTATATCTGTCATCAAAATCGAGAATGAATTTAATCACAGAAACCAAAACCTTGTAAGTGAACCTTTAAAGTTCAGTCGTCCGTCCGTTCGTCAAACTGTCCTTTCGGCAAAATGTCCGTTCGGCAAAACGTCCGTTCGGCAAAACGTCCGTCGGCAAAATGTCCGTTCGGCAAAATGTATTTCGGCAAAATGTCTTTCGGCAAAATGTCTTTCGGCAAAGTGTCTTTCGGCAAAATGTCCGGCCACCCAATAAAAAAAATTCTGGTCAAATGTACGATGCACGCATTTTTATATTGTCATATTCTTCATAGCCGAGTCTAATTTGCTTCACAAGTCACATGACTCATTCACTATATATAATAAATAGACTTTCTGTTTCTGACTGTAGGACAAATCAAAGGAAAAATAAGTCTCATTTAGGACAGACATGCAGTCATCATAACGATCTACAAAGATGTCTCAGCATCTAGCTGCATTAAAGACCATGTTACACGGTGCAATTTTTCTTGTAACTTGCAATGCAATTCTACCCTTGAGAGATGTTAATTAGTCAAATCAGTGAAGAATTTTCGAGATGTTGAGAAAACATCAGCGGAGTGTAATGAAGACTCGTATTTGGCAATTTTACATCTCTCAAGAGTAGAATTGCATTGCAAGTTGCAAGAAAAATTGCACCGTGTAACATGGCCTTAACTGTTCCTCAGTTCCTGTGGTCTAACGGAGCACTAACTATTCCTTTAAATAAAATAATATAAAATACCCAAAGTAGTCATATCAATAATATTAATTAAATCAATGAATCAATACATATAAATCAATAATTAGTTTCTCAATTTCTATCAATAAAGTTCTGGTCAAAAGTTATGCATGATGTATACGCATTATTATTGTCATGTTTATTCATAGATCAATCTAACTTCCTTCACAAATCTTATATGACTGATTGACTACAATTTTCTGTTTCTGACTGTAGTACAAAGCGAAGGAGATACAAGTCTCATCAAGGACAGATAGTCATCCAACTACGAGGATAAAATCTATAAAAGTGTCTCGCAAATGACGGGCTGTTCCTGTGGTCTCAGTGTTTTCTTGCGGCAATGTTTCCAAAATGTGAGTAATTTTCTGTCCAGGATTCCATATATAACAGGATTTGCCAAGTATGAACCAGCAACTCGCAGAAGAACACCAAGACTCTCCATCCAGACATATTTCTTAATTGAGTTATACTCATGAGCCAAGGTGAATATATACCACCCAGAAATTGGAAAACTTCCAATTCCAAAGCAAAGAACGGTGCCAAGACAAACAAGAAAGGTTCGCCGATCTCGAATGTGTCTCCTTCTTACTGCATCTGGGCATACACGCTTCATGTGCCTGCTTTGTTTGAGAAGTGCTCGACCGATTTTATAATAAACTACGGCCATAAATATTGTGGGAAGAAGACTATATATAACTATTCCTATGGATAGTCGAATAAACCGATAAAAATTCAGCTCTACAAAACAGAACGACAGATATGTTCCAAAACCCACAATGAAACCAACAATGTAAACCAAACCACAAAAAACTTTCAGTTTCCGTCGACTGATGGCAGGTCTTAAAGGATGTACAGTAGCACGATAACGAAGCACTGAAATGATCAACATCATTCCTACTCCAGCGACTTGAAAGATATCAAATATGTTACCGAAAATACAATACACGACGGAACCAAGGAAATGTGGTTCTTCAGCCGAATGATGGACAATAACCTCCAAAAGGTAAATGGTCAGTACTCCCAGATCACAGATCGCAAGCTGTAAAACGAGAATGTAGTAGTTGCTTTTCAACAAATATCTTTGGTTTAGTATGGAGATGACGACCAATATATTACCAAGAATCCCAAATACAGATAGTACGTATGCGGTAATAGAATATATGAAGACATCGTATTCCATCTCCCCCATTGCTAGCTGATGCAAGAAAATTAATTAGGTTTGAATTTCGTGGCTGTATAAAATACAATTCAAGATCGAACTGGTAGCTTGTTGGCGCAGTACCTTCGAGAAAGAGAACGAGTAGCGAATGCGTTTATTTCAGTGCGATGTATATAAGAGACTAGCAGATGTATTCCGACAATGCGAACCCCATGATGACATTGTCAACATGGTGTATAACTCTAACTTAAGATAAAACATGCCGGCTTCGATTATTTGAATATCTTTCATATCAACTCAAGATATGAGCTATATTGTGAATATTCAGATGATGTTTTATCTTATATTTTGTGAAATTGTTTGCAGGTAAAGGATAATGCTACTCAAAGATTGGCAGAGAATAGCAAAATTGTTAAAATAGAAGAGTTTCAGACCGTTTAGGAATTAGGATGCATGAAGGGATAAAATAATTTCAAATTTTAATGATTTACTTTTCTACAGTGTGTATAAAAAAAAACGGAACCCTTTCAAATTCAAATTAGCTATAACGTATTGTAGTAATTTGACAGCTCTAATTGCTTTAAATTAATGGTTGGATAAGAACACTAGGTCTTGTACTCACGGGACAAAACTCAAAGAAATAAAAATTAGAAAATTTAAAAGAAATACAGAATTTCTTGTGTTCTTACCCAACATTAATTCAAGGCAATTAGAGCTGTCAAATTACTACAATACGCTAATTTGAATTTGAAAGGGTTCAGGTTTTTTATACACCCTGTATATCTATTTTAAATTTATGACTTTATCATAATTACTTCTGATTAGTGAATAATATACTAAAAATGTTATTTCAAAGAACCGAAATTAATTCCTTTTGTAAAATAACACTCTTTTGAATAAGGATTTTGTGGAAACGAATCATTTAGGCAAAGATATTGGAGATACGAAATGGTTTGAAATAAAACCCGGATACAGGCCACCTCTAAACTACTTGCCCTAGGAGGAGACGTCAGAATTTTCTTTATTTTTCAGCAATACCCTAGAGTTTTGACAAGATATCATCTCATGCTCCTGAATGTATTGGATATATATGAATAATTTGTTAATTTTACACGAAGCAGGTGTTATGATCACGTGCATTGAAAACTAAAAAAACAAACTCATTGTTTCATCAAACTTTAAAATTCTGAAAGCAAATTGTATGGCAGTTTAAGGTAATTCCGCAGTTTTGCATTGTGCACTTTTACTGCGCACATCTTATAACTTATAATTTCATCCATTATACGTACCGTTTAAAAAAATAATTTTATGACAATTTTATGTTACTTCAAAACATCTTTGGTTACATTCGTGCAAAGAATTACGTTAAAATCAATGTTTTCAAAAAAGGCATACAAAAGTGTAGCTAAGGTTCCCTGTGTCTGTAGTATATTTGTTTACTTGTATTTCACGTTTTAATGCCACAATTCCCTAAAAAGATCGGTGACCCCCGTTTTTTAACTGATAATTTATGTCTTTAATGCATTTTACATTTCATATCCGAAATTAAAAGAAAAATCATTTCTGGATCTTGAAAAAAA